ACAGACAGAAAGCTCTATGGCAAAGCCCACTTCAAACTCATGTGGTCCTGTTCACCATTAAATCATCCTTCCAAGCAGCCTCCATGTTTTACTCAGATGGACATTTCTTGCAACAATATGTTGGGCAAACAGAACCACATGATAGCATAGGAAGTTAGCAGACACTCCTCTCTTAGAAGAATGAAATATTCTAGGAAATATTAAAGAGGCAGAATATTATATTTCCCTGGATGAGAAATGAAGAAACATGTTTCTTTAGGCAGGAAGCAGACTCACTCTTAATAGACCCCACCCTCCTCAATAGCCTACAGCAGATGTTAGCACTTAAGAGATAAAGAGATAGCTAGGTCTATTCATAAGCAAACATCCTCACCCAAGATCCTTCAAAGGTAGGATTAGCCCCCCCCCCCCACTACCCATCTAGCAACAGAACTCACCACATGGCACCTGGGGAGATTACATCACCCAGCAAGATTCAACCAAGCTTGGGACTCAAAACACTACAAAGTTACCCCTGCATAGGAGTCTGACTACCAATCTGAATACATTTCTTACACAGGAACAGGAAGCTCCAAGGCGGGGCCCAAGAGAGGGTATAAATCTACAGTATCTTTCTCTCCCACCCATGTGCTCTTTTTTTACCCAGGATCTCAAACCATGTGGTCTTGTCCACCATTAAACCGGCATTCCAAGCAGATCCCATGTTTCCAGTGTCTTTCTCCCCACTTGGAACTTAACCAGATGGACATTTCTTCCAACAAGACTATACTACAGAACTGTTGCCTGTGTATTTTAAGTGTTACCATGATGTAACCATCACAGTAAAATAAACTGACCTAACCTCTCGGCTCAGAATCCCTTTTGCTCTGTTTCAATTTCAACTTAAATTAAAGTGTTGAAGCCGACTGATATGTCCTTTCTGGCTATACATCTAGCACTTAAAAGGAATATCTGGGTCAAAGCTTAACTTTGAGCTGCTTCGAAGTTCCAACACTACCATCAAGCCTAAATGAGAGCATCTTGCTGGATTTCAGCGTGCTTCAGAATAACTAAATAGATTCAATTGTGATTTGATGGCAAGTGAACTGTTTGGTTATGTCCATGAAGTCACTAGGAATCAGGTTTGAATAAAGAAACTTTGTCCTTTCTGTCATTAGACAGAAGAGCCTAGAATGCATCCCAAGCTAGACCAAGAGGTAACCAAGCATTAGTATTCATTTATTTAATATATCTCCTGTTTTCCTCTGAAAATAATGTTCATAATGGTTAACATTTCCTTGATCAGCCTTTTAACTCACCAGGAGGGATCCTTGGATTTTAATCCTTTAGGACGTTACCCATAAACAGAAATATATTGGCTGGATTAACTTTTGCTTTTTAAAATTAAGTGTACATAATAAAATAATTTCTCAAGATCAGGCTTGATAGAACTGTTGCCAAAGCTTCTCCACACCTGAACTAAAACTGGCCTCTTTGTTTTCAAATTAAATGTGCAACAGGCACAGCACTTGCCATTCCAAGAAGAAATATGCAATTCTACATGGCAGTATAGTATAGAATTTAAGTAATGCAGAAGTGAATTGCGTTAGTTGGGGTTTTTTTTAAAAGACAAATCTACAGTGAG